GTTTTGTTTTCAAAGTGTTAAGTGTTAAAAAACAAAAATAAAATCACAAGAAATTTTTTAATTTAGATAAGGTCTACACATCATTAGTCTTGAAGTATCCAAATTTGCTTTCTACAAGAAAAAAAAAATAAACAAAAATTAAAACTTGTAATCAAACGTAAAGATTCACTTTTAAAAGAACAAAACAAACAAAAATAAAAGTGGGCCACTAAAATTGAAATTTTACAGCTTTTTCATGTTGTACAGTTGTGTGCTTTGTGTGTTAATTGTGACAATTTTGAATGCGATTTTGACTTCTCTACGTTTTCTGTCATCATCATCATAATTTTGCTCATTTTTCTGATTTTTTTGTATGATTTTTTCTCTTTTTTTTCTTATTTAAATTGTAAAAATAAAAATGAATGTGTAAAATATTTTGTTGCAACTTTATGGTATGTTACATAAAAGCTTTTTAATATATTAAATGACAAAATATTGACATGACATGCTATGCACCGTTATTATATACATGACAGTGCCGAGACTGTGTCATACATTTTCAATTACAAATTTGAAGTTTACTTAAAAAAGAATACAATTATTGTTGTTTTATGTAACGAGTAATATATTTATGACAGCAAAATGTCAAACTGCAAAATATTTCATATTTTATTTAATAATTTTGTTGGGGAAGCTCATATTCAAAAAATTTTATGATCTAGTAGTCTGTATAAATGCACAATATTCTGTATTTCTTATTTATTTAATTTTCAATTGAGTTTATTTCTTAATTTGGAACTTTTAATGTGTAATTTAAATTAATTTATTTAAAAATTGCTATATTAAAGCTGAAGCCAGGAGAAATTGAATAAATGAATTCGATGAAGAAAAGTAAGTGAATTATTTTCTATTCTATGTAAAATACTGCAATAAAAAATCAAGATACGCTACTGTTGCTCTTGAATACCGAATTTTGTTCTGAACCTGATATTCTGATTCATTTTACAATAGCTACGGTCAAATACGCTTTTAAATTTGTTCAAATGTTTCACTGAACAAAATCCTTTACCATTTATTGAATATTTCAAAACTTCCAATTTCTCATTTCTCATTTAGCAGACAACTAAATTCTTAATGTTAAAAATTTGTTACAAAATTTATTACACATCTTTGAACATTTCAACAGTAGGTAAAATTTGGCTCTTGTTTTTCACAGAACGGTGGTGGACGTCTTCTCGATTTTGGTATTTGCGCGAAAACAATTTGTTTTGTACCTACATGCATTTTTTAAAAAAGGAAACGCAATGAATTGTTGCAGAGGAAAATTGATTCATAAAAATGAGTCAAAATTTTTCTGTTGCTTTGTTGGCTTTTTTTTTGTTTTTTAAATCGAATGACCTTAATTTGCATGTTATTTGAAGTTCCTGTGAAAATATAGTTAAGTTTTGTTTTTGTTATTTTTTTTATAAATTTACGATGACTGTTTTTTGGATATTTTCAATGATTTTGTATATTCATATTAATTCTTTAATTGTCGATATTATTTAGATTTTTTTGTGTTCGATGAACAATTAGGTATTGCTCTGAAATAGTTCTTTATTCTAGAAAATTTCTTGATTTTGTAATCATTATTTAGATTTTTTAAATAATGATTACAAAATCATAAAAATATAAATTTTATATTGTAAGGCCTAAAGATTTTAATCCTGGTCATTAAATAACGTATCTTTTGCAGATAATCCGATATTAATGATGAAACTGGAGTAAAATTATTAATTTTATGAAATTGTGTGCAATGTAGTTACCTTAAAACTTCACCAGACTAAGAAAATTTATAGAATTTAGGCATGGAAACATAATTTATAAAGTTTTTATTATATTATATTCAAATTCTCTTGAAGCTGCTATCCAAAATACAAAAGTATGTAGATATTGAAATCTTTATATAGAAATCTTAAGACAAATCAAAATTTGAAATAAGTTTTTGAGAAAGTAGATCAGTTACAATGCTCGATATAATTAAAATTGGTTAGAAAATTTTGATATACATATAAGGTGGAATTATGCTATATTAAGATGTTGGAAATTTTAATTTTTAGTTTGATTTCTTTTAAAAATTTCTAAACCTCGATAATTTAAAATTTTTTTAACTTGTATTGTGAAGGTTTATTTACATCTAAGGTACAAAATTTTGTGTACTGATTAATACTTACATTTGATGGTACAATCTTCATTATACTCTAGTTTAATTATACTTAAATTCTTTCATCCAATTTTTTACAGCCATTCATCGTTAAACCGAAAAAATTTATGTTTAGGTATTTTCAATTTATTCCAAACAGAAACGAAAATCACTCAATTTTCCCACTCAAATTTTATTTAATAAAATTTTTCTACATCCTAAATGTATGCAATATTTTTGCAACAAGTTATTTCAACACAATTTCTTACTGTTACTCAAATTAAAATACTTTTTCGTTTCTTTGTGTTACTAAAAAAATAAAAAAAAAAAATAATTTCCTCAAATTTATTTTATCTTTGTTTAGCTACATTCTTTTAATAATTTAAGAAACTTAAAGCGGAAACATTTCTTATTTCTGTTTAAAATTAAAGATAATTTTGAATTTTCCAAAGAATGAACAAAAATATTTTTGAATTATAAAAATAAAATTGCATATATTTAGGATAATGCAAAAAAAAAAAAACCTCATTCAATAATGTATTTTGTGAGTTGTTATCAATCACTTTCTCAATTAATTTGAATTTTTGGTTTTTTTTATTAATTTGAATTTTTGGTTTTCAATTTAAAATACGAAATATAAATAAAAAATTATTACTTTTAATAAAAAACAAAAAAAAAAATCAATTTTTTTTTGAATATTTTATTAACTTTTCCTATTAAATTTAATAGGAAAATTTCACTTTATATTCGATTAAGAAACCAAAAAAAAAATTAATGAAAAAATTTTCTATTTAAAAAAACAAGTCATAAATAATATGACAGATTCTTAGATTATTGTTTAAGAAGAAAAGAGACAAAAAAATATCCTTTAAAAATTTCATTTTTCAATTACCAATTTTTTATATCGTAAAATTATTGTTGCATTGTAATTGAAAATTTATGATTACAATTTTATTTTTTAATCTATTCCCATATTTTTATAACTATGTATATATATATTTAGAAAAAGACAAAAAATTGAACCACCTTCATTGTACTTTTCATTGGAAAAAAAAAATTTTTTTGTCAACAAACAGAAAGCAAAAATTTATTATGAATTTTCTATTACGTTCATAACTTAAATTTGACATCATAATAAGGATAAATTTTATTAATTCAATAAATTTTTCAAAAAATTTGTAGTAGTGACACCTGTTTAACTGAGTCAGAAATCTTGCCAGCTTTTAACTCTATTTTAATTTCAAAAGTTGAAGAGTTGAACTTGCCTTTCTTTCTAAAGAGTTGACAACAAATCCTAATTAGACTTGGTAATGGCAAAAGATTAAAAAAAAAAAATTTCAATTTTTTGAGTTGCAGCATTTTATACAACAATCTAGCTAGGAGCCACATGTCGCATAAAACGTTAAGAATTTTTATTTTCTAGTTAAAATTTAATTTCTCACTGTCTATGTACGCACACTGACTATATACACAATGTCTTTGTTTTTATAATATTCACAATATTTGTCAAGTTTTTTAAGTGAGCAACTATCTAGCTTCTCACGCCTTCAATTCTAGTTTTTTTTTTAGATAATACTTTCTTAAATATCCTAGAGTGGATAAATTTTGCAATTACAATTTCATTTTATATTTTAAACAAGAAAAATAACAAATTGTTTAAAAAAAAAAGAGATTAAAGATAACATTTTAATGTCAGCACTGTTTTTGTTTTTATACAAAGGTAATATAAAATCATCTTAATCTTATTTTCATTCATATAAAAATTATACAATGGGTAATAAAGAGATTGACAGAAATGTAATCATAGTAACTAAAAGACCAACTACATATAAAATAAGTGTATTCAACAAAATAAGTAGAAAATTCGGAATTAGTCAACTTTTATTGCCAATTATCCGAACGTTTAAGGAAAATTTAACAGTAAAAAAACCACAAAACTCTATTTTATGTTCACAAAATTGAATTTAATTGTAAAAAGGATTTTTGTTTTTTTTCAAATTTTCATTGATTTTAAAATTTTAAAGTAAAAGTTTTACACACCATTCTAGATGAGATTAAATATATTTTCTCAACAACTAAAAAATATAACAAGTTTTTTTTTTTTTTCTTCATCTTCATTTGTTTTCTCAATTTTAACCCAAATATGGTAATGATGGCGTTTACAATTTGATTTTGTTTTTAACTGATTTTATTAAGTTGTCTTTTTTCAAAATAAAAATACACTTAAATTGATTGGTGACTGATTTAAAGGATTCCATCAATATTTTATTTGTTCCAATGAAGTCACATAATATCTTCAGCGATTAATATCGTATTTGAATGCTATAAAATGGTAAATTTTGAATTTGAACCAGGTTTAACTAAAAAACCAGAAAAGTAAAAATTATTTTATTTGAATTTTTTTTTTGAAGTAAATTTATAGGTAATTGTTTTCTTTTTATTTAATATTTTAAAACTTTTACTTACTAGCGATATTTTTAAATCTTATTTGATTTGATTTTAATGTTAATTAATTTGAATTTTGAACTTTCTAATAGGATATGTCTGTAAGGTCAACAAATAAAATAATAGAGAAAAAATCAAATTGATTCGAAATTTCTTAAATCACTCAATTATAAAATTAAATTCGAAAATTTTTTTTATTTGTGTTTTTTGAATTGTAGGAGAGTTAACCCATACTATGGTAATGTTAAGTTTATGTGAAATTATTATGTGAGGGGTTCGATTGAATAAATTGAATAAATTTGGAAGATTAATGAATACATCAAGTTTTATTAAGCTGTTCAATAATGTATGTTAAGAAAAATTTTTAAGAATTTACATTTTTTGTTTATTTCAGATCTGATTCCACTTTCGAGTGCGAGCTCGCCTGTTTATTATTGTCTTAGAACATTTTTTGTACACAATTTGCAAAGGTCATGAATTTCAATAATTTTTCACGCTATCGTCATGAATTTCAGTATTTGTTGCTAACGCAAGTGCTTTATTTATATATAAATGTTATATTTGCAAATGAAAACGATTGACGTGATTGATGTGATTTTTTTAAATAAATTTAATTAATTTCAAAATTTAGTGATTTAAATCAAAGATAATAGAAACTTATTCTCATAAGCAAATAACATATATGAATATTGTATATAAAAATCTTCCAATATCTCAGCCATATTTCTATAAATTGTTAAAAATTTCTATAATTAATTCTTATTTATTTTCATATCAAATTAAACAATAATAAATAATAAAGAAAAAAAATTGGGTTAAGACCATATTAACGTTACGTTCTAAAAACAACAAATACCAATATTTCTTAAATTAAATTTCAATTGTATTTCGGATATACCCCCCCAATTCATATTTTCATATACATGTGTCCATTATGACAGACCATTTCACCTTAAACAAAAAACCAGACCAAAAAGAATAATTTTTATTAATCAACATTAAGAACAAATACAATAAAAACTTTCCATTTCAAATGCTTTCACATAAAAATATTTTATAAAAAAAAAAAAAAATTTAAACCAAAATTCACGAAATCACACACATCAAATAAACACCAAAAGTATAACAATTGGTGATTAAAAACGCTTCAAATGAAATATGGTTAAATACAAAATTTAAAATTTTTATATCGCACAACAAATCATTGATCTGAATTCTCATATATAAGGCCGTTTAGTTTTGTATCCAAGGAAATTTTTTTAATTCCATTTTCAAGAAAACGACCTAAAATAACATAGAGCTTAACATCTTACCGATTATAATATTAAAAAAAAAATTTCCTTTCTGGTCCAAAAAATTTCTATATGTGCGCAGAAAACAAGAATGAATTTTTGATTCCCACAATTCAAAAGTTAAATGCCCCGCACATTGAAAATTGAAAATTGAAAAAGTGAAAAGTTTTTGTATATAAATTTTATTTTTATTTTTATTTTTTTTTCAAAGACTTGTTAAATATAACAATCTCGCACCATTAACGTAAATTTTTTATGGACAAAACAATTGAATAACACTATAAATTTAAAGTTCTGAACATTAATCGGAACATTTTATTAATGATAGAGCATTGTTCAAGAAAAAAAAATTTTTTGCTTTTCATAGTGCGTTTTTTTTCTTCTTAAAAAATATTGAAATTTTTTGTATAAATTTTGCAAATTTAATCCGATTTAGTTTTTTTAAGTGTTTTCTAAACAGTGAACTGGAGGGCTAAGAGAATTGTTCTTTTGAAAAAAAAAATTTATCATCAACCTCAACTCACCTCACCGCCTGGAATTCGTAAAAATTTGAATTTTCAACATCTTATAATTCCGAAACTGCAAATGTAAGATTAAAATTGATTGAATTTATTTTTTCAGTCAAAATATTAAATTGGAATTAAATTGAAAAATATTTAGTATTTTTGAAAATGTAATGTGAAAAATTTTATGATTTTTACTTAGTTTATACAAAAAAAACAAAAAAATGTTCGCCTAAACATATGCAATGCTCAAAACTTGATCTTGTTAATGAATATTAAATCATTAACGCACATGTCTGGTATTTTTAAGAATATAAAATGTTGAAAAGAAAAAATTATTCTTCAAAAATTATTGAAGAAAAACTAGGATTCAAAATTACTAATTTAAAATTTTAGAAGACAGACAAAATTTTGTAATCGAGAACAAATGATTGCGATTTGCTGTTGAACGAAACAAATTTTTATTTAATTTTGATTCGTAAGTGTGTCAGACTAGAAAATTACTCATGTTAGATTGTTGATTGAAATTTTGACTGTCATGAAAATTTTTATATATTCTTGTATTAACTCTTTATTACTTTTACAAACACATACCGCATATTTCTTAAATATTCTTTTAATTTCAAATATTAATTATTATTCAATTCAGAATTCCAAATGTCAATTCCAAATGGTTAATTACACAATCACAAAGGATATGAGTGCTAGTTTATGACCGCTCTAGTTATCATTGTATATAGTATCATCTATAAGACCGGATTATGAACCAAATTCCATTAAAAATTGTCAAAAATATTTTAACTCTTTTGCCGCATCATAGTAAGCCCAATATATTCCGATTCGTTTGGTATCTTAGTTTTTGCTCCTCTATATTTTATAACACATATTTCCATATAAAGCCGTCTTCTCCGGAAATATTTTCGAGTGTTACCCTTAAAAGAAATTCAAAAGAAAAATAAATATAATGATTATTTAATTATTCTATATTTTTTTGCTTTTGTCAAAATTTCAATAGAAAAAAAAACAAAAGAATATTTAAGATGCAAAAGCGTGTAATTCAAATGACTCTTTTATTTTAAAGATTTATTATTATATTTTCATTTAATTTATTATTTAATTTTGTTCTTCTAATTTTTTTTTTGTGTATAATCAAAATGTCACATTGTTATTATGTTCGATTGCACTCTATTATGTTATGCATGCAAGTATACATGCAATAGAATTTTGTGTAATCCAACAGCTTTGTATTATGGTAAAAAAAAAAATTGACATTAAATCATTAAACATAACATCAATATCTGTTATACGAGTATACTGCCATCTAAAGTTAAAATTGTGTCTTATTGTTTTTATTTTCTTTTTTTATCTTACTGCGTAGTTATTATTTTCAATTCAATTTATTGAAGGAGTTTTTACAATCATTGATTGAATTTTTTTTTTGCTTCTGTTTTTGCTGCGTGTTGCTTTTTCAAGTCAACACTACATTTGACTTGTTTCATGTTATATAAAATTTTTCGTTTTTTTTTTCTTGTTCTTCCTTCAATCTTTAACCAATTGCATTTATCTATCGCAATATTGAATGAGTGAATTTACGATGATAGGATGTTAATTTTTTTTGAAAAAAAAAAAGTTGTCTGTCACTTGTATAAGATTTCAGAATGCTATTATTAACAATATAAATAAATTTTTTGAATATAAAATAAGTTTGTTAATATAAAAGTGTACAATGAATATGTAAAATGATATTAAATTTCAATTAAAGTTGAATATTGTACAGTAAAATTGAAAGTACTCGTACTTGTGTTTGACAAGTAAATTTGACATTTCGAATCGTGAATGATCAAATGAAAGTCAAATTTTGAATTAATTGGGAATAAGCTCTAATCGTTTGTATTAAGTTCTAAGGAAGCCCTCCATACTGAAGCCAACTTTTATAGCAAATAAAATTCATTTTTATATATGTCATATGTATGAGCCTTCCAAACTCCAAATATTTTTAATTACACAAAATAAGTTCGTTCTTCTTCCTTTAATTTTTTATTTCTTGTCAGAACATTTGATTAAATTCAATTACCATTGTTTAAAAATTTTATAACTCACACCATTGAAATTTTATAAAAATTAACCTTACATCTACATTTAGAAATTTATTATACAAGATCTCCATGTACGGATCATGTATTTTTGCAACAATAGCATAATATGAGAATATCGAATATAAAATTATAAGGAAACGATTAAGACAAAAGTTCTCATGTATGCAGCATACCTCACATAATTAAAACATTGTAGCTGTACGGTAATTTCAAATTTGATCAAATGTCATACAAATGTCAGAGACTATAGTATGTATATATGTATATGTGCCTATTTAGATTTTTATTAAAAGATAAAAATAATTGTTGATACTTACGATACTACATTTGTACTTTTACTAATAATTGTTAAAAAAATATGTAAAAAAAATCCAGTTTTCATTTCAAAAAAAATTACGATATTTTAAATTGACGGAATCTTTTGAATTTGTTTCTTTTAATGTTAATTAAAAAGATAAAAGAAATAAAAGTTGTCAATTGTTAAATTAAAAAAAAAATTAATTTTTAAAATTTGAAAATTTTAATTTAATGTTGTCTAGATAGTAGAATTTCCATTCAAATATGCCTGAAAAATTTATTTTGAATTTTCACCATTTTCAATTTTGTAATTTTAAATTTTAAAATTAAATTGATAAAATCATGCAATTAGAAATTTCAAATTTATTTAAAAACACACAATTTTTACAAATTATAGTATCAAGAATTTTTTAGTTCCAGATTGTATGGACTAGGCAGAATCTTTTCTTAATATAAGGCAAATTTCAATGCAACCGCGAGTTGGCGGTTGTCTGCGTGTTACACCTTTTTCAATCTCGGACCATCAAAATATAGTGGGAAATGAACAGGCGAATAAGCTGGCTAAAACTGACTCAGTCATTTACATTTCCGTGTGAGAACGAATTTTTCTTCCCATTAGTCTGTCTACATGTAGAATGGCTCATGGCGATGTCTCAGGGGAGCATTGCCAGTCTAGCATCAGTCTACACAGGACATTGAACGCTAGAATTCCCTTTAAATATAGCGTGTCGTAACTGTCTGTGTCGCAAAATTAATTGATCTATTTAAAATTTTAAAATTAAAAGTCCAAAAACAGTTTAATTGCTCAATATTTTTTCTATTTATCTCATCTAAAACAATAATTAATCTTTGCTCCTTTTATAATTTTTTCAATATTTTTCAAATATTTAAAAGTAGTTCTTTATACAATTATAAAAATTACATAATTAAATCAATATCGTAGAAATAATTGCACCAATCAATATAAATTTAAAGAATTACACATTGCCAAAGACCTAACTCTAAAAAATAAAATGAGAAAAAAAAAAATCAAAATGGTAATAATTTTTTTCCCTCCAAAATAATAATTTTTTTTTTAGTAAAATTGAAATTGATAATTTTTTACTAAATAATTCAGATTAATATTTTCATATTAGTCACTTAATAAACAACGAATAAATCCCGAAAAACATTTAATATTTTTCAATTTATTTTTAGAATGTTTTAAAACTTAAGGTGTGAAATAAATTTTACAAGTTCCCTGCTCATATTTCCA